AATTTACCTATTTTATCTATTGAAGACAAATAAATGAAAACTTTGTTTAGATGATCCATTCATTATGGATAAGACAGTAAGAATAAAGGACTTATTAAGTTGGAGTGAGGTGATTCACATAAAAGAGAAAAAATATTACATAGTAAATAATAATGATTAATTGTAAGGAAGGTTCATGGAAAATTTTCATTACTTTTTAATTCCATTTTTCCACAACTTTTTGAAGCCCCTCATAGTATAAGAGCTCAGCACTAACCATGACTTTGGAGCATGTGAAGAGAGAAGATACAAGCTGGACCTTAAAGAATGGTATGATTTAGAATAAAGAAATGTTGAACTCGAAGAAGAATGAGCTAGTATGAATACACTGAGAGGTGGGAAGTAATAAATTCATAACCCTTCAATACAATCATGAGAAAACATCCGGTAAACTCAAATTGAAGGGAATCTGGCATGACCAGGACTCCTCAAAACTATCACCGATTAGAGGAGACAATCTAGGAAAATCAGAATGCAGTCTTGTAGTTTACAGTATGGTTTGTTGTCCTTAGCTGCCATTGAGCCCGCCTCATGGCAATTTTAAGTATAAAAGAACAAACTATCAGCCAGTTCTGTACTGTCTCCATTGCCATGATGGAGCGTCAGGCCCCTGTTGTGGCCACTAAACCACCCCACTCACTGTGGGGTTCCCTCACCGCTGCAGACCTGCTCCTTGACCAAACACCGCGCTCCCAGTCTTTCCTGATGACATGTTCAAAGTAAGCAAGTGAAGGCTCTTCCATCTTCGCTTCTCGGAACATTCTAGTTCTATTTCTTCTACGCCTGATTTGTTTGTTCTTATGATCCATGTATATTCCATTTTCTTTACCATGCCACAATTCTAATGCATCAATTCGTCTTCTGTCCTCCTCTTTCTCTAGCTTTTGCACGTATACAAAGTGACTGGAAAGACTGTGGCCTGAGCCAGGCGTACCTTAGACATTAAAGTGCCATTGCTGCTCTTGAGAGATTCCAACAGCAGTCTAACCCACTGTGATACACCATTTGATCTCTGCATGCTACTGCCATGGTCACTGATTGCTGATCCAAGGAGAGTAAACTCATTAACAACTTCAATTTCTTCAGTTGCCGGTGTGTTGTCCAATTGTGGGATTTCTGTTTTCTTTACATTCAAGTACAATCAATACCTAAAGTTATAGTCTTTGACCTTCTTCAGTAATTGTTCTTCATCTTTGGCATATAAAGTGTCATCTGCATATTGCAGATTGTTAATAAATCTTCCTTTAATCATGATGCTGTATTAGTCTTTGTATCTTTAAGTTTCTTGGATTATTTGTTCAGCATACAGATTGGTTAAGTAAGGTAATATTGTTCTAACATTAATTTCTTAGTTTGGACAAATGTGGCACAATTATGTAAGATGTTAACATTATGGGAAACTGGGTAAGAAACTACAAATTTTCCCATGCTAAGGACTGCATTAAATCCCACATGTATCTGACATACATGAATATCCTCAATCAGATGAGTTAAATCTGTGAGGTGTAAGAAAGCTGAGTCAGCAGAGTTGCTAAAAAATAAACCACAAGACCACATAATTGTTTTTCACCAGCATGCCAGCCTTGAGGCTGCTCCGGTTTTTATTTTAAATTTCCATATGCATTTTGCTCGCCATTGATTTTTGCTGACACTACGAAAGATTATACGCACAGCCACATTCCAGAGGTACATGTGAAACATAAGGCTGGACAGCCTTAGTTACAAGGCTTCTAGTCTTACACATAAATTAAATAAAAGAATTAGAGTTTGAAGACCGTATTTCCAAATAGAAAACACAAGTCTTGAAGAGGAAGACTATATAAAAACGTAAATGCACAATTAAGTTTACTGGGTACTTGTCATACACTGATACTATA